CAAAAATTTCAGATTTCCTGTTTCCCTTCATTGAGACAGGGTGTCCCTTAACACCATCCTGTGCAGTTTCCTCAAAGTTTTTGAATTCTGACACATGATTGACTCCAGAATTTTGCACAGTTGTCTACTGTACTTATTAAAATTTTCTGCAATGATTTATTGTCTTTCTAATCTTTGCCATGTTGAGACAATGAGGCTGTAGATTTTGCAGAAAATACGAGCGTATCATCAGATCATTTAAATGCAAACTGCATCTTAGAAAATAATTCCAACCAAATCGCAGTAGTGGATTACCACTTTTGTGTTTTATCGCTTGTACACGCGGGTGAACATTAAGTAAGATGAAGTTTTAGCCTTTACCCGAGCTTTAAGTTCAATTTGTGAAAATTCGGCAAGCATACAAATTATTATTAAGCCATTTAGTTCATGAGAGATTAGACTTTAGATGTCCTTTCTCCCTCAAACGACCCGTTGTCGCAGGCATCTTATGCTTAAAAGCCAAGAGGTTACATTTTTGTGTTGCTGCTAGGTCAATAAAATGTACGCCGAATGAAATAGCTGCCCGAAATACATTAGTCAGTCTAACCAACTCGTTTTACAACCACTGCAACACCGGGTGCTAGCAAGTCAAACTTTTAATTTCCGCATTTCCTAAAGAAGCTCGGTGTGACCTTCTGAAGCGAAAGAAAAACGTCCTACCGCGTCATCCTCCGCGTGCAGCATCCTTCTACCAGGTCCACATCTCAGAGCATCCGCCGCCTGTCAGCTGACTGCCCGACACAGAGCTTCTCTGACCTCTGAGCCTTCTGAGGACTGAGGAGGTGCTATTCGGCGTGAAGCCACGAGATCCTTTTATTGTGAAACATTCAAAATAAAAGCCCACTTAAAGTAAAAAAGACTTTAATTTCTGAGATGCCAAAATAAAGGCCTGTAGTCTGATTGATTAATTGTCATTTTGGTGCCTTATACGGAAGCCCGTGGTTTATATACATATGTCATGTATTGTTCCTCCAGTATCCAATTCATATTTTGCACACAGTAAATGTCACAACAGCAGATTTAAAGTATTAATAGATTCATAAGACAAACATTTTACATAAAACAATGTTTACAGAAGTTGTTACGCTTTAAAACATTCATTTCTTTTGTACCATAAAGGGATTGTAAACAAACGATTAACTTTGTGCATAAAAATCAAAGATTTGTCTGGGAATAAAGCCTTGAACTGATCTAAGTTTAAAGGTGTAAAATAAAAAGCAGGGAAATAGAAAGCAGGGTTCCCAAATAAGTTTTCTCCCAAATG